TATTATTTAATATTGAAATGTTTGTAATATTATTACAAACATTTATTATTTATAAAAACAAAATTATTGTTTGTAAAAACAAAAAAGTTTTTTTTTCAATTATTCCAAATTTCTTAATAAAATTTCAGTTGATTTATTGTATTTGCATTGAATTTGGTTAGATAATATAAAACATACAGCATATTTCTTTAGAAATATTTATTTCGATTGTTATTTTTCAACAGAATCTCAAGGCAAACCTACCAGAAAAAGCGTAAAAAAAAAAAACAAGCACGAGTTACGATGATAAGCGACGAAACGATAAAAAAAAAAGTATTCACTCATAAAAATAAGATAATGTAAAATTTTTAACTATTAATGATATATTATTCAATTATTTTATTAAATAATAAATTTATTAAATAAAATTTTAATCAATGTTCTTTAAATATGATAGATAATATTGAAAATAACCGTGATTATTCTAAATTATGATTGTTGCAAGTATACTTACACAATGTAACAATTTTTTACCGTGATAAATTGATTTAATGGCTTGCAGTTGAGTCACATCAAATTTATCGATCGTAGACTTTCGTTTTAATGTAAAAGGATTCACGATTTTGTTGTACGGTTTCGCGTATGGTTTCGTAATGATGAAAAAGAAACAATCTAATAAAGATTAAATCAGATTATTTCAGGTATTGAAATCATTTTAACAATGAAAAATACATTAGTTAAAATTAATTTTATGATTTATTGTTAATACTCAACAAAGCATATATTTGTATGTGCATCTTGAACTGATTTTTATTTCATAACCAAGAAAATGTATTATAAATATTATAAATATGATTTATTTAAAATATAATTAAGTAAATTAAGTAAATTATGATATGCAATAAGTAGAAATCGATTTATCATTTGCAATCGATAAGAAATCAATTACTTATTTTATTATTTAATTTTAATGTATAACAAATAGATAATCAGCAGTGGGGAGAATATATTTTTTGGAACACACCTTGAAAACAAATTGATGCATTAGATAATATATCACATATCAGAAAGCAAATATTGGGAAATATTTTTAATAATTTTTGCAATGATAGCGTTAATAAAATATAATAACGTATGAATCTACTCACTAATATTTGTCACGTGCACTGTATCACGCTTTTCGTTTGGTAGATATCATAGCAGATAAACTAACTATAAAAAGTAGCTACACGCTCTTTCACAGACGAATATGTAACGTATATACACATTGCAACGATAAAGCTTCTACAAATATTACGAACACAATCATAAGCAAGCAACAAAGATAGAGAAAGAAAAAGAAAGAGAAAAGATATAAATCGTCGAAACAACACGTAACCTTTACTGCCGACGAAATACTACTGACTGCGGCGTCGGGTTTCAATCAGGTTATGCAAACCCTACAAACCCCCACTTTTCTTTTCCTCTTGTATACCTACGCACGTGACTCTTCAATGTGTTCCACATTTATTGTATATACATATACACTGTCTAGACACGTCATATAATTCATGTAGATGCAACGCAACATTTTGTAAAAATTAAGATATATATAAAATATTTTATATATATATTTTTTAATTTTATATTTATTCTAATTTCACATTTATAATAAAATTATATGTAAAAAATTGTAATCTTTATTAAAGTATTTGTAATATATATGTATATTATTTATTTATATATTTATATATTTTAATTAATTTTTTTAAATTAATTTTAATTAATTATATATTTTAAAATAATATTCTAATATTAATATTTTATAATATAATTATATCATACAGTTTTTGAAAATAAATTCGTAAGATTATAAATTATACAAGTGTTCAATTTTAAATACACAGACTTAAGTTTCAATTTTTATTTATCTATATACTTATTTCATATTTACGAATATGTATTCCGTATTTCATATTACAATATGTGAATTTTTATTTTATTTACATCATATATGATAATAATATATGATAATAAAGCAAATTTTGTTTTATTGTTATTTTAAATATTTATTACTCAAGAAATAATAAAATAAATTTAATCAAATATGAAAATAATTATATAATATTAATAATCTGATTATCATAATAGCAATCTTTTTGAAAAAATTTTTTAAAAATCTATTTTTTTGAGATTTTTTTCAGATAAATTTTAAAATAAAAGATAAAATAAAAATTCTTTAACTCACAGTCAAAAGGAAACTTCTCTATCATCAAATTTATTGAACAAATTTATATTATTGAAATATTTGCAATAAATGATTTAGAATATCTTGACAAACAATATTTATAGATATGTTTATGTATTATTTTATAAATGAATTCTCTTTCATAAATTCATTTCTAAAATCATTTTATCATTAGATATTTTGTTGTGCGACAATAATAAATTTATTTGTAAGTAAATAAGTTGAATGAAATAAAGAGGTCAAGTTTATATTCGAAATTAATCTTTTCTGTAATATAATATTATAATATTATATATATAATATGATATATAAATATAGAGTTTAAAGTATCATGATTATAAAGTTAATGACTTACGTATAGCTATGTGACGTCTATTATATTACCATAACGAATAAAATGTCATAAATATGTAATATATTGCAATGAATATAGTAAAGTAAATAATAAAGTATAAAATTATTTAAAAAAAAATTTATTCATCATTAGTCTGTTTCCAATATGAATTTATTCGTTAATTTTAATCTAAATTAATCTAATTTTCTTTTTTAATCATTGGTACTCAAGAAGTATAACAAATAGGATTTAATATATTACAATAATAAGATTATCAATTATTTAAAATTAATTAACCACTTTTACGATTATTATGCGATCATAAAATAAATATTAAAAATTTCATAAATAAAAGAATGTTCAAAATTAAATCATCGTTAATTATTTAACAATCTAAAAATTTCTTCACTTTAGAGAAATAAAGAATTAAATAAAAATTATTGATTTTATAAAAATATGCAATTTTAAGTATTTATCTTTATATATTACATATATTATATATATTTTCTATATTACAAAATTATTTGTAATGTTTAATTCATAAGAAATAATTTAAAATAAGAGATTGTGAAATTTTAATATTATACTGAATTAATCAAAAAACATGATTATAATCAAATTTATTAAAAAATTTTTCTGCTCAAGAATAACAATAAAATCAATTTTATGAGTATTTTTGCTATTTCTTTTTCATAATAAAGAGAAAATGAAAAGTTTTTTATTTATCTTTATCTCTTTATCTTAACTTTATTTCTTTTAATCTAGTCCGATGATTTGACAAAGACTTTATTACGATATATAATATATATAATATATAATAGAGAAATAGAGAGTTTAATATTGAACAAATAAGATAATACTTATCAAGGCCACTAAAAGATATTAGATGGCGAGAAAACAAAGATAACGGGATGATGTCTGGGAGTGAGATTGTTAAATTATCATTATAAATTGGTGAAAAATATATACAAGATAACTAATCAATGTACTTGTTCCGGTTCAACATAACTTATAAATTTTAGTTTTGAAATTTATATTAATTAGATTATTTTGATATAATAAATATTCTGTCTGTTGTTTTATCATTTATTTGATAGCTTCAGGTACAATAGTCACTATATTTTAATTAATATAAAAATATTCTTAATTATAAATGTTATAGGAGATTAAATAATTTTTACAAATCAGAATTAAAATTCTATTTTTATGTAATACATAATTTTTCTTATTCATATATTTATATATATTATATATATATATATATATACATATATGTAAATATATGTATATATATATTATTATATATTAATCTATAGAAATGAAAAATAAATCACAGAATGTTTATTAAAACGAGAATAAAAGAATTTAATATTTGAAAAGTAATTTCGAAATTATTTTCGATGGATTTCTAAAATTCATTATAATACATATACTTTGTACAAATAATGAGATCTTATTTGTTGCTTAAGTAGAAACATATATCTTAAAGTTAAATGTTTAGCTTTCTAGTCTTTCATGATAACTTATCTTAATCAGTCGTTTCAACTGAAAATTTATGTTTACATATACTTCATGTAAACTTCAAAATATAATACATACTTAAAATATAATACTTATACACACACACACACACACACACACACATATATATATACAATATTTAAATATATTTTACTATGTACTTATTCAATGTTTTTTTTTGTTTTTAAAACCATATTTACAATTTATAATGATATTTCATATTTTATATTTATTTCTTTTTATTTATTTCTTTTTATATATTTATATGTTTTAAAAAAGCATATTCATAAATTTGATTTTATATTTATGCAATATTTAGAAAAATATGTAATATATAATTTATTAGTTTATATTTGGCAACAAGATTATATAATTACAAACATTTTTTATTTTCCTGCTCAATAAATAAATATAAAAAGATATTGTTTCAATATGCATCTTTGATAATAATTCCATATATAGGTTTAGAATGTAAATAACTTCAATGATTATTTTAAGAACGTAATGATCCAGTATATAAGAATAATAAAAATCTGAATAATAATTTTTTTTGCGAAATAAAAAATTAATTAAATAAATTTTGTTTTAAGAATAAAGAAAAATAATAAATTTTTCTATAAAATTTTAAAATGCAGTAATATATAATACATTTGAAATAATATATTTAAAATTATTATTTTATTAGTATTTTTTCGATATTTTTACGATGAAATTTTTTCGCGAAAAACAAAGTAAATAATGCTATGATTTCTATTGAGATATCTTTTTGTCAAGTAGTTCTCACATTGCTACAATCATATAAAGCTCAACATTTCATGTTTTATCAATTCACAACATTTTATTGCCACTTTTTATGTTTTTCTACTTAAAATATGAGTTCAATTTCTCAATACCTCACATCTGTTGTAAATAACAATAATGCATATATGTATATCTTTAACATTATAATTTTATATAACTTGTGAATTATAATTCAGTCGTAGCCACTCCCCAATATTGTTGCATTCTCGTTGCGTCTTGTTCTAATGAGTCCAACCCATTTCTTTCTTGAATTACGGCAAAATCATACTCAAGATTATATGGCATCAACCTCTGTAAGCTGCCAAAATAAGCCGCATTTGGACCTCCGTTAAGTAATCTTCTTCCGCTACCGAATCGAACAATGGGTGGTCTTGATAGAGAAGGATTAAAGGATCTGGCACTTCCAAACCTCTTCGATAGAAAAGGCAAATTGCCAGCTAATTGAGGCGTGGATCTCGATTGACCTCGTCGTAGTGGAGTCTTCGTTAAAGTGTCTAATTCCTTGTCGAACAAGAGCTGAGTATTTTGCTCCAGCATATATTCCCAGCAACGAAATTGCTCTTCGCTCAAAGCGCCAGATCTCTCGGATATAGTGTCTTCTTGAGCCGTCAAAGTAGTTGATATCTTCATTTTTTTATGTAGTATAAGATAATTTATTTATAAATAGAATAAATGTGTTTATGTATTATCGAAGAAATTTAATGTGAATGTAATAATTTATTATGAGTCACTGATTTATTGTTTCGAACGTGTAAAAAGGCTTGAATATTCGAGATTAAAATATATAGTCACTAGAGATCTTAAGTGACTGGATAAGCTCTTAAGAATTTTGCATGATTTATTTAACGAGTGAAAGAAAATGTAAAACAGAGAAAGAGAGAACAATGGATTTTAAAATTTATAATTATTCACATTAAAATTCGGATATCATATTTATTTCAATATTTGTTACTTTGGATACGAAATAATTATTTCAATATTGTTGAAAACTTGAATTGTTTCTTGTAATTGATATCAATATGTAAACAATTTTTTCTTAATAATGATTTGTTTACAGAAAATTTTAAATAAATACTTTATATATATACATATATACATATATTGGAAACTATTGTTTATGTAGTGAATTCAAGAAAAAATAATTTAACAAATTAAAATTTACCTTTCTTGTACTGTTTTCGTTCACAAGAACACTTTGACGAGCTTTGTTCGTAGCTCTAGAAGCAGCACTTCCAGACCAAATTCTACCAGAAGGATATCTCGACTTCAAAGTACTATCACTAGCTTGGTCTGATTGACCACTTGGTGAACTTCTATCATCTTTGTATGACGGACTTTCATTTTCTTGCGTTGATCGACGATTTTTAAAATATCTACCGGACCCATTGTGAGCTTTGTTTGATCTATATTATTTAAAATTATTTAAAAAATTTTTCATTGAAATATATAATATTTTCTAAAAAAAAAAAAAAAAAATGATCTCAAGCCTATTTCAATTGTATTACCAATTCTCTTTTAATTCCATTATACACTTTATACAATTTTTATTACATAATTTCATGTGGACTTCTTACCTATTCACTATGCTTTTCAACACGCCATTCAAATAATAGCCTTCGTTCGCGTGACAACAGCAAGGTCCCGGTGGTTTATGAGCTGCCGGAGGCATGCAACAAGGACAAGGACATCCTGTCTCAGTTTGACCTCTATTCTTTCCAACAGCATGTCTCAATTCCCTCATCAACTGATCTAAATCACCCTGATTAGGTCCCGTTAGTCGTACAACTACAATGCTCAAATTATCCTCTGCTCCATAAGCTTGTGCCAGATCTTGAAGTCTTTTAGCGGCTAAAACAGGACTGGCTTCCGCTCTGGCTTCTCGAACGGCTTCCTGAATGCTCAGTACCTCCCATAATTTTTTATTACCAATTATAATAAATTCATCGTCATCCTCTAAATCTACCTCTTCGAATATAGGGTCGGGAACAACAAGAGGAAACATAGCTGCGTTTCCTAATTGATTTTTCATAGATAGCTTCTTAGGTGCCAAAATTAATGGACCAGCTGCTCTGCAGAGAACTGCTTTTGCGTCTCCAGAAGTGGCTACCTTTAACGAATATTTCGTTGGCGCTTTCGGATATCCTTGTTGCAATTGTATTCTAACAATATGCACAAGAGTTGCATCAATCCCGTATTTCTGACCCTTATCTTTCAATTCCCTATGGGCAGATAGTAACGTATATTTTAAGTATTCCTTTGACGTCTCTCGAACGGTTCTCTCCTCTAATAAAAGGCGCGGAATCATTTCCTGGAGTGCGCTCGGTGCTTCTTGATTCGAACCGCCATCGAATATACCAAATAGGCCTTCTACGTTGCAAAATGATGGCATCCGAATTTGGGATACGTACAATCTGCGCATATAAATTACCTGATCACAATTTGAACCGAGTTTTAAAATTTGGAAAATTTTTATTTTCTTTGTTGTATTATAGGAACGTCTAAAATTTATGCCATAATAAAACTAAGAATTAATGTGAAAAAAATTTTATAAATCTAACCTTTCTCTACATCCTGCTGTTTCTGAAAATCCTAATCTCCAAGGTTGTTCCGAACCTTTTTCCGAGGAAATAATTTCTTGCTGATGAGGGTGCGAAGGCAGACTTGGTCTATTCTGTCCAGATACATCAACTAATGATATTGGTCGTTGAGACCTATATACCTGGAATTGTCTAGGATCTACGTGAAGTCTTGAATTGCAAGATATATCGAGAAATTGAAGTTGTGGTGGCACCAGAGTAGCTAAATTTACTCTATCTAATTGATTATGAGCTAAGTCCAATACCTATATATAAAAAGTAATTATTTAATTGTAAAAATAATTAATTAATTAATGATATTAATTAATGAAATAAAAAGTAATTACTTAATTAATGACATTAAATATTAAATTTACTATTACTGAGATTAAATAAATACCCATATATATTTTTACATAACATATTAATAATTTTAATAATAGAATTACTTTTAACGATGCTGTTTTATTAAATGTTGGACAAGTCAAGAGTCGATTAGAATGGACACGCAATACACGTAAATGTCGTAAATTGGCCACATTATCTGGCAGATATTGAAGACGATTTCCAGATAATATTAATTCTTCTAGATCTCTCCATGAAGCTATACAACTATAAATCAATAGTCTTTTAATTTTCAATTTTATTATAAAATATTAAAATAATAATAAAAGTTAAGCAAATTCTATACCTTTCTGAAAGCGTATCTAAAGTATTGTAAGCTATATGAAGAACTCTTAAAGATGTAAATTTTGCAAGAGCATCCAAAGCAGTATCTGTTAAACAATTCGCAGTGAGATATAATTTCTCCAAGCTGTGATTGTTATGTCGATTTTTATTTCCTTCTCCAAAGTGTGGAAGTTCTGACAATCGATTGTTGGAAAGATTCAACACTTTCATCCTATAGAATGGAATTATAATAGTTTTAAAATAGAAAACTAATTTTTCTTTTCTTTCTTCTTTAATAAAATATAAATATCTAAAAAAATATTATTATTTTTGTTATTAATATTAATGTTTCTAGTTTTTATTTTCAAAAAATATTATTTCTTAGTATATGCTATATCATCCTGTATATCATATTGTGTCGAGGAAATTAAACTATTCGCGTACTTTTCCGTGTTGATGAAGAAACTCGTTGGTAATGCTGTCAGTGCATTGTCTTGCAGCGTCAAATGAACGATGTTTAGTGGTTTCCTAGGTGGCGGAAGAGCTTGCAGTCTATTGTGGGGTAAGTGAAGAACTTCCAGTCTCGACGGTTGTGTTAGTAATCTGTCTGGAAGGGCTGTTAAGGCGTTGTGAGACGCAAAAAGTGCTCGCAACAAAGGTAGATCTGGTATCCATTCCGGAAGTGCATCTAAATTGTTACTAAAATAAATTTATGTAAAATCATAATGTTAATAATTTATATTTAAATTACTCAGATAAATATGTTTCAATGATTAATAATATGAAAATATGAATATGTTATATCATACATATATTTTTTAAGACTTTGGATTATAGATTTCTAATACATCTTACGAGTAACTATGTAACTTGTAACTATGTAATTCTTTAATTAAATTTAAAACTGTAATGAAATATATCAAACTTAAGAAGCACATCACAGTTGTGTTATAACAATGTAATTATGTTGAAAATTATTTAATATTATTATTACATATAATATTACTATTTAATAATATTTAATATTACTTTATGTATTTATTATTTCATTTTTACTTACTAAGAAACATCTAGATGTTCAAGATTCACAGGCACTGGCTCGATAGTTAATTTTTTTAATTCTGCAATATGATAAAATATGATAAAAAGTTTTCAAATAAAAATTTTTTATGTCCATATATAATACATATATTTATACATATATGGTAAGAAAAATAAAAAAGATCTTACTGTTGTTTCCAGCAATAAGAGAAACAATATTTTTCCCGCAGACCGTCAGTTCTGTTAAAATATTTCGCGCGCAACGAACACTTCTCAATTCTTGAAGAGCACTGATGTCCAATTTCTCAATGCTATTTTCACTGACGTCTAGATGCGTTAAATTCTTGATTAAAGAAGAAATAAAAACATTAACAATCGTTAATCATTTAAGATTTTTAAATATTTTAAATAATTGTAATTATGAATATATTTATGAAGCACTTACACCGTAATTTCCAAGTATGATGTTTCCTTTTAATTGATTATTTCGAAGATTCACTTTGTACAAATTATTTTGATTCTTATCATCTTTACAACCTTTGTTATAATCTGTTTTTGATAATACATCCTAAAAATATTGAAAAAATTAATTTTCTAATAAATATAAATAATATAAATATAATTTATAATATTATTAAAAAAATAAATTAAATTAAATTTTTAATTTAAGTTTGTTAATAATTATTATTAATATTATTATTAATCAAAATAGATTTATTTAAGTCTTATACGTATATATAAGTAATCGTATACTATATGTAATAGTATACTATATCTAAAAACACTAGTACCTTATTCGACCGCTAGATGGCAAACTATTCGAATGAGTTTCTCGAAACTAAAATATATTCAGAGGTATATATAAAGATGTTTGAAAATACGAATCGGTACTCTGGTTTCCCTTCAAATCACGCATAAATCTTTCGCCTTTTACTAAAGATTTCCGTGGAGGGGAACAATTGATGAGTCTATAGACTAATTTTTTGTGTACCCGGCGCAAGCTGGGTCATTAATAAAATAAAACATAATTAGTAATTTATGTTTACATTCGTATATAAGTTTCAAAATGTTATTAAAGTAACAATATTTAATTTATACTTATATTACGTACAGAAATTATTAAATAATATATTATTATTAATATATTATTAAATATTTTTTAGCAGATATAATGATTATAAATTTTAATTTACTTTGAAAATTTGAAGTATTTTGTCAAGTTATTTTTATTTATTATATATTATTTATTATATTATATATTTATTATTTATTATATATTAATATCATATCATCATATGTAACTCACATGAATTAAGATTGCTCAAAATTGATAACTTTTTATTATTTTCCAATTGAATAATCTTTAAAAAATTTTTCATTATCATTAATTTTATATATATATATTTTTTGTATCAATTTTTATTAAATATTTTTATTGATCTTTAACAAACATAAAATTTGATAAGATTTTAATTGTATAACAATAAAAAATAAAATTTTATCAAATTCTAAATATCATATCGATTTGATTTCTAATACAAGTTTTTTTTTCTTTGAATTTAATTATTTGGAATAATTGTTTGATTCATTGACCTGGAATTAATATATCTATTGCAACATGAATTACCACATCGCATCGTTCTATGGTTATTCATCGTCACGGTACTTCTGCACGAATTTTGAATTATAAAATATTGTTAATAATTTTGTGAAACATTACCGTTAACGCTAGGGCACGCATGTTGAAGAAAGATGGCAAACTGGTGAGGCAATTTCCAGATAAAGAAACGTTTCTCAAGTTCTTCAACTCGACGAATTCATATGGCAGCTCTTTGATTCCATTACGATCCAATATGAGCTCTTTGAGGCTGTGAACAATTATTTTTATTGATTTTGGTGTTTTATTATTGTTATATATATTGTTATAATATTTTTTAAATGAAATAGTATTTTAAAAATTAATAGTTTAATTTCTAATTTTTTATAAAATATTTTATAAATAATTTAACTTATAAAAATTTCAACAAAATTAAATTCCTACTGTTTTTTTATCAACATATTGCATGGTATTTCTCATTTTTAGTTTAATTGTAGTTAATCGACATAAATTAACATTACAGTTATAGCGATTCGATGTCAATGCACGTTGCACCCTCGTTGCACGGACAAACGAATCGGTGAACCTAAACGAGCGGGCCGCCTACAGGATGTGCACTTGAGTAGAAAGTTTCAAATTATGGTGAAAACCTTCCTGGCAGTAAGCATTTGTGTCATCGAATAGACTTTCAGTTTTTAAAGTAAAATCGAAATTATTGGTGTTTTAGACAATAAAGATAAGTTAAATTGGATATAATTCATTAATTGATTAATTTATGAAACTAATCAATTTATTCGTAAAATTAATTAATGTTACGTATTTGAAAATTGTATTTGAAAGTTTAAAAAAAATTCTTCTTTTTTTTTGTTTCTTTTTTTTGCTTTTTTAAAAAAATTGTATTAAAAAAAATTGAGACCAAGATTTTTATATTAATATAATTTTATATCTAATTTATTATTTTATTTTTGTATTTAGCTGCTATTTTTTTTCATTCTTTTATTGTATCAAAATATCACTTTATATTTTCTTTGTATCTTTTTTTTTACTTTATCAGCACGCACTTATTTCCAAAGGAGACAGTCATTTTTCGTCACCTACTTCATCATTACTTATTCTTTGCCTGATGCTTAAGAAAACGTGGAATGTATCTAAAGATCTAGAGCATCCTTTTCAGCACTCTCTAATGAATAACTGAAATACTCTATTCTTCAGAAAATATTCTTTGCGTTTTTTAAATTTCTTGTTATATATTATAAAAAGCTTAAAAATTTATTGAAATATAGTTTATCTCGTATCATTCCTAAATAAAGTTCTTTCACGTCATTTTAATAATTCAATTTCATTAATTCGGTATTTAAATTATAATAAAATTGATAAAATAAAACATTACAAAACAATGTAAATTCAATGTTTCAACTCCATTAAATTCTTTAATAGAATTTGATATCGTTTAGATCATTTACTGTCTTTTTAAACAATTTATAGATCTTTTATTGCTTAGACTTGTTCCATTCTATTGTATCAGAGTAGCGAATTCTAGAATCTTAAAATTCTTAATAAAGTTTTTTCAATTTGAAAATTATAATTGTCGTATTAAATAAAGAGATGGGGACAATAAAATATAAACATTCCATTATTCCAATAAATGTTCACAAATAACTTAATAATAAACTCTTCAACATTAGTAACATTAGTTTAGTAACATTAGTTTTTTAACACCACAATTTTTTTAAAAAATAATCCATTTAATAATTTTCCATTTCAATTACAATAGTATCATACTATTTTCAAATATCATTTTATATGATATTATTTTTTTCAAATATTATTCCATATTTCTTCAGACAGTTTTCAACACTAGTATAATCTTTCAAATCTTTTTTCTCTACAATACTAGCATTACAATAATAATATTATAACTGATTTCTTCAATATAATACTCAAATATTACCCTCACAATTTCAAGAAACTTCTTGAACGAGTTCTTTAACAGAATTCCATCAAACAACTCATATTCAATATATTCTTCCAATAAATCCACTGCATAATTTTCTTTAATGTGGTCACCAATATAGCAAAGTGTTTTGAATATCCGCTTCAGTTTCACACTCAAACGACCTTCAGTTAAATAGTTGAACAGTTTCTTCCACAGGGACTGTGCAAACGTCACTCTGCCAGCCGTCAATAGTTCAGGATACCATAGGATTGTGAAGTTACAAGTTGGTGCACGCTCACGCGAGTTCTTCAGGATACTAAGAAGTCCGTTACGAGTCGAAGCGTGTCCAAGCAGTTCCTGCATCGAAGAAGAAAGAGGGAGGAGATCAAGGATGGCTTGGCTGACCACTGTGACGTAACAGAAAGGAAAGATTAGCTTTTGCCAGTGGTGTAAGTTGGTTTATGCTGATTTCTGGCCTGCTTGTGTACCAGCAACCAGCGATTGGTTCCTGGTTAACGGAGTTGGAAGAAGGTATGTATGTACCTTGATGACCTGGTTTCGTTGCACAGAAGTTGGAAACTCCTTCGAAAGCTTCGATTTACTGGCAATATAATAACAATGCTTGGTTTTTGGAGTAAGACAGGGAGCGGAGGAATTACTAAGTTGAATAATCGAGACACCAGAAAGCGAAGTTGAGGAAGAACTGTATCTGTTTATAGATAGATTCAAACATCTGTTTATTATCCACCTTGGTCTTTTTACGTATTAAATTA